CTCCCAGTCCTTCATCACCTTAAACGAAATTGGGTGAATAAATCTCATATTATATTTAAATAAGCAAGTAAAAATTGTGGTAGTGAAGGCGTGCTATCGGTATATAGGATTCGGGGTTAGCCTAATGCGGAAGGAGAGATACTACGAGTATTTAGTAGATAATTGGTCAAAGGATCGGCTTCATTTGTCTCTTTGACGAGTTATAAGGTGCTAGGACTGGCAATGCTCACTGACGATGCCGGCGAAATGTCTGGAAATGTACCACATCCACGGTCCGACTTTGGAAATGATCACGCATACAATGAACTCCGGACTAGATGCGTTCCTCTAAGCCTTCCTGCCAATATGACCAAGTTGCGAAAACATGATCAAACAAATTCTATACAACGAAAGGAGACTGCGATCACACAAACGGCCACACCATTTTGATCTTCATACCTAGGGTGAATATATTTCATTTTTATCGCTAAATAGCAGTCTTTAAAGCTACTTATAAATAAAAAAATCAATTTTTGAATGTTATCTTAAATTAATTCTCTACAACCATGTCTTGCTAATCTATAACATAAATCTTACATTGCATACAAAAACTGACCTCGAAGTTAAGGTTTCGTGTGAACTTTCTAAATATCCAGGCTCCGCTTTATGCTTCTTCAGCTTGGCCGAACTATCATCAATCTGCTCCATAGGTCGTCTTTTGATCTTCTGCCCCGACACAGTCTTTATCAAATCAGAGCCCTGAACTGGGCTCCTAACCGTCTCTTCACGTTTGGTTACTTTACCAAACTTCTGACTATCTTTCAAGTCTTGAATATCATCGCTTGGCATTGTCTCATGTACCAGTTGTTTTTCTCCCTCAACTGTATGCTTCCGAGGCAACTCAGATTCGAGGTCAGGCATGGTTATAGGATCAGTCTTAATCGGATGAGTTGAGCGCATAAGTGGCATTGTAGTCTCAGCGCCCCGGGGTGCATGTACATTCTCAGGCACAACTGTGGTGGTTGCAACTTTGCCCCGGGTCGGCTTAAATGAAGCACGAAGACGAGCTTGCAGGGCCTGCTCACGCTTTCCACGTCTAGCTGCAAGCCATTCAGCGTCCCTTTCATCGCTTGAATGACGCATGCTGGCAGGAAAAGGATTCTCTGTGCATTCTTCCGGTTCTAATTCACCAGTAATTTGTTCGGCTACACCCAATTGCTCCGTGGAGCGTTCAGTTGTAGTGGCATCATGCAGCGCCGTATCAACTGACCTGTCTATCGGCCGAATAACTTGCTGAGTCCGAGTTGATGGTGTCTTAGATGAGTCAGTTTTTGATTTGGAATCAGTCGGTACAATTATATTGACGCCATGTCTCGATTCCTCCTGGGCATCGAAGTCGTCGTCCTCAGAGCCACTCGGATCCAAGTCGATCTCCCAATCAGGATCAGGCTTGCCAAGTCGGGCTAGTGACTCCTTGGCTAGCCGAATGTTCGTGTTCTGTGCCCTTTCTAGCTCGTCCTAAATAGGAAATAAATACAAGGATTGAATTATTGAATTAAATGAATTATAAAATTGGTTTATTAAGGCATCTCTGATTATTTTTCTCTCTCCCTCTCGATTTAGTAATATTTTCGTTTACAATAGTACGATGAAAGATTCATTATTAGATTTCATAAGAGGGCGAGAGTATTTTCCTCTTGATCTGTCGGTTGAGTCTACTTTGATCTTTATGTTGAAGCAGACCTAAAGACATCATTTCACTTGCCACGTCAATTAGTTGATATCATCAGAACAAACTGAAGCTTATGATTAACGTCATATTTATGAAACCTTATATACTAAAACTTTAGTTTAAATTCCCTTCATAAGGCTCAAAACTAGGCCAAATGAAGTCATCGAAGTTAGTGCAAATACTAAAGAAGAGTAAAATTGAAAATAAATTCACTTCTTCAAGTGGATAATAAGGCTCATAGACATATAGCTAGCTTTGGGATTAACATCTAATAACAAAGGTCTCGAAATACAAATAATAATAGAAACTATGCTAATCATGAACAATTTTGGCTAAACTGTATATCTTGTAATCAGATGCATACACACATTTCAGCCCAGTGAGATATTCAAGCTCCAGGGCTCATGTGCAGAAGGTATATAAATATTGTAGAAAGTATAAGTGTAAAGAGGAATTCGGCCATGAGCAGGCCCATCTCCCTTTCGACTCGCAACGGGATCACAAATTACCCCAATTTTGGAAAGCTATGCGAAAGTTCCAGTGAAGGAAGCTTTATAAACTTAAAAATTATTAATTTAATATAGATTACCATTTTGCTATTTGGCAACATAGTAGGCTTGGCTTATACAATTACTGAAAAAATTTGGAACTTCAATCAATTTATGTAAACTGCTACAGAAAGATGTGTTTATATAGCCAATAAGTATACACCAGTTTGCGGATAGTTGTATTTCAACTATAGTTAACCTCAAATGGCAGGAATGAGTTTAATAAGTTTGATAGAAAATATTTATTCATAACTGAAAGCGTAAGGAGTGAAAGGAGGCAAAACTACCTCCACCAAAAAGCATGTCAACCAATACCTTCGCTTTGGCTGTGCAGTCATGCTTTCTATGCTTTTAGTGACCTATCCTCACACTCTTCCCATTCCATTTTTACTTTTGTTACATCCCATATGTGGCCATGGCTCCACT